GCAGCAGCTGGGAGAGAGGAGTGAGAATATGTGAGAGAAACAACCCTGCAGACACAAAAGTCAGAGAAGAAGGAGTGGGAGGAGGTGCTCCAGGCACCAGAGCAGAGATTCCCATGCAGCCCGTGGTGAAGACCATGGTGAGGCAGGCTGTCCCCCTGCAGCTCATAGAGGTCCACAGTGGAGCAGATATCCACCTGCAGCCCATGGAGGACCCCACCCCGGAGCAGGTGGATGCCCAAAGGAGGCTGTGACCCCATGGGAAGCACGTGCTGGAGCAGGCTCCTGGCAGGACTTGTGACCCTGTGGGGACCCACGCTGGAGCAGTCTGTTCCTGAAGGACCGCACCCTGTGGAAGGGACAAATGCTGGAGCAGTTTGTGAAGAACTGCAGCCTGTGGGAAGGACTCATGTTGGAGAAATTCGTGGAGGACTGTCTCCCATGGGTGGGACCCCACGCTGGAGCAGGGGAAGAGTGTGAGGAGGAAGGAACATCAGGGACAACACATTCTGAACTGACCGCAACCCCCATTCCCCGTCCCCCTGCACCGCTCGGGAGGAGGAGGTAGAGAAAATCGGGAGTGAAGATGAGCTCAGAAAGAAGGGAGGGGTGGGGGAGAGGTGTTTTTATTTCTCATTATCCTACTCTTAACTTTTGATTGGCAAGAAATTAAATTAATTTCCCCGATTTGAGTCTGTTTTGCCCGTGATGGTAATCAGTGAGTGATCTCCCTGTCCTTATCTTGACCCAGGAGCCTTTCGTCGTATTTTTCTCCCCCTGTCCAACTGAGTGGGAGTGATAGAGCGGCTTTGGTGGGCACCTGGTGGCCAGCCAAGGTCAACCCACCACACAGGAGCCACTCCGAACACTAACAGAAATCACAGGGTTAATCGCTGTTAGATGCATGTTGTAAAAAGTCTTGGGAAGAGACAACATAAGTTGTATAAATCACTAACTAAACAGGTCTGTATCACAACCAAGGCAGAACAGTCTCAAACTCAAAAAACCCTACAAATTTTAACTCAAAATTTTCAATATGTATCAGTAAAAAACCCACCCATTTCAGCCTCCCAAATACACTAAAGCTTTCTTTATGCTAAATGAGCACAGTTTTGCTTTGAAACACACTGCAATTCAGACTTACTTGATCTCATAACCCTCTCCAAATACTGAAGAGCCCAATTGCGTTTTCCACTCAAGGGGCTCTCTGAAGACAAATGCTGCTTCCCGAGGATGTCTAGTGCTGAAGTCCTCCGCAAACTTAATAATTTGATTTAAAAGAGATTCGTTCAAAGGGGTGATTTCGAGTGTGCCAGTTCCAGAACCAGCAGCAGTCCACTGAGCTGCTCTCGCCAATGCCGCTCCCATGGTCTCAACTAGTACGAAAGATGTACACCTTAGCAAAGAAACACAGTCAGAGAACGACCAAACTGAACTCTCAGATGATAAATGCAATATGCCGTGGATGCCATAATTGGAAATAAACATATCTACGAATGATTAGATTCTTTCAACTTGTTTAAATCCCCTAAGTGGGGGAATAGAAGAAGAGAACTTGCAAATATTTTTAAAGAAATAGGGAAATCTGGTGAAAACATAGGTTTTTTCATTTTGATTAATTAATTCCTGGTGCTACGAGAAACTCAGGAAGCTGAGAGCCTAAGGCCTCTGTTATGGCTGTAACATAGGCTCTCAGGTTCTCCTTGTAAAGTTGATGCCACCGTTAGAAACCGTATGTGCAGGGGGACAGGCACATACAACCCCAAACAATGACACCCCCCCAGACATTTTCTTTAAATGGAGGAAAAAGCAGGGTGACAGACCCAGCCGTCAAGCCTGGA